CCCTTGTCACATGAGATCAACCTCTTCATCTTTGCTCCTCCAATCTTCATCCAAATCTAACTACAAATACAAGAATGGATGAACTACACTAGCTAAACTATCCTACACAAAGGAAATGGAAGAACTACATTTCTGCACTTCCAGCTCTCTCCCGTATCCTTTTTTCCAAATGTCTCTGCATATAAGCTGATGAAAAATCCTTCCCTTACCAGTCAAAACTTTCTGCTATGATTCTCCAAATCTCCTTTTGTTAAGATAGTCAAAAACCATTGTTTTTGACTTGAAAATAAGCCACCTTGTCTGCCCTTTTGTCTTCTGAAGCATGTGCACCGAATTCTCTTGCAGATTGTAGCTGGAAAGTAGTCAGACCACAAGAGAATTGACTGAGCAAAATTGCAGAATTGCGGCCGGAAAACGCGCCTACACAAAACGCGGTTACAAGTCACGTTTTGTGTACTCGCGTATTCACTTTGTCCTTACTTCAGCTGCGATTTTCTCTATCATAAAGGCTGAACTGGCTTTTTTGTAAAACACCAAAGTTGTAGCCCTTTGAGTTAGATTTCCAATGCTTCAAGAATCATCCAAATATGAGCTTTGTAGCCTGAGATATGATCGAAATACTAAATACTGGTCAGAGCTCTGTTTTCCACTTTGGACAGCTGAGTTGAATTTCGGTATTTCAACTTTTGGACTATGAAAACGGCTGAATTGGACTTTGATGTCTTCATACCAAATGTAGATATATCTCTTAGTTTCAAAATGGTACCAAGATCACCTTGATCCGATCAGTGTAGCTCCAGATATAGTCAAAATATCAAAACGTATCAGAGTTGTCAAACCTGACTTTTCTTGATTCAAATTGCATTTTTCCTTTTTACACTTCATATTTTATTTTCACCATTTTAATCCATCTTCAATCATCCAAATATCTTCTCAATGCACTTCATTTGATGATTGAATCATTAAACCTACAAAATATGAAGTTTTTCCCATAAAAATTCATAAAATGCAATGTTTAGCCACTTTAACATAAAATGTAGTTTTTTACCAAAACCTTAGTTATTTTAGTTATTAAACTAAATAATCAAACCAAAATTAACTAATAAAACACACTAAAAATATGTAAAATAAACTCATCAAATACCCCCACACTTGAACCATTGCTTGTCCTCAAGCAATAAGAAATACAACCCAACAATGATCCAAAATTTGAAAATAAACATATGTAGCATTTCAACTTCATTTCCTCAAAACAAAGTAAATAACTATTATGCAATCATTCAATAACCTCAAGTACTCATAATATCAAGTAAAGGAGAGTCAATTATACCATAATTATAACAAGTTTAATTCAATTTCTCATCTTTTCCCAATTTCACAAGCAAGTAACTCATATGGTAAAAAATAATACTTCCTAAACTCATGATCATCTCTTTATTCTGCTTAAAAGGATATTTATTCATATAACGTAGTTAAATATTACTTAAGATGTGAGAATGCCTTTTGACGCGAGAATCGACATTTTTAGATGAAGATTACCGGTTACTCAACACTTTACATACTCAAGTTGCTTTGCATACTCTTAATTCAAGTACCGTTGTACGCGAAAGTCGACATTTGTAGATGAAGACTCCCGGTTACTAAGTACAAGAATCATTGGAGTAGAATAAATCTTTTTTTTTCCTTTTTTTTTCTTTTTTTTTTAATAGCAAAGAGAATAATAATTTTCTAAAAAAAATAATCATGAGAAGAGTATTGCACTTATTGACCATATTTATCCCTTAACTATATAAAATCAAGTAAAGAAAAGAAATTTCATTAACTATGCAAAAAAAAAAATAGGCATAATTTTCTCCATTTCACAAGATATATTTTCCTACAAATGCAAAATTATAATCACATAATAGTCATTTCCAAGTTAAATGAGAAAAAAAGTTTCCAAATCATATATATTTATTTCAAATGTGGAAGGAATTTGAACTACTAATGGTATGAAACTTGTTACCCCTTTGAATAAAATCGAAAAAATTGAAACTTTTTGGGGCAAGTTTGCAATTTTGGACAAGATTGTAGAAAAATTTGAATTTTAACACAAGTCCAATATTTGCAACTAATAAGTCAATCACATACAATGTATATAATCTCAATTCTTCCCCCCACACTTAACATGCACATTGTCCTCAATGTGTAAAAAGGGAAATTAAGATGAAGAAAAATAATACTTCCCTATTGTTGTGATTGAATATGAAGCTTCAAGGTACGTTGTTCGCCGGTCTTCATCACTTCATGAGTTCCATTGGATAACCATTAGTGATGTAAACCTAAAAATGGAAAATGAGAAACAAAAGTGATAACAAAGGCTTAAGACATCAAAACGGCGATCCGTAACTTCAAGCCCTTGTTTTGGTGATGTACCTATAAAAAATACAATAAGCAACTCAAGGTACAAGAAAATATATGAGAAAAAGAAGAAAAAGAGAACCAAGGAACCTGCATTTTTTTATTAAAAAAAAAATGCTCAGAAAACGTGAGTAGAAACGCGCCTTTAACTCGCGGCTTTGAAGGCGCGTTTCTTCCCAAAAGTTGCAGTACTGAAAACGCGGTTCTGTGAGAAAACGCGACTTCAAGTCGCATTTTCACTGGCGCGTTTTCATCTTTGATCCAGGCAACAAAACGCGGCTTCCTTCAAAACGCGACTTAAAGTCGCGTTTTAATGGCGCGTTTTCTGTTCTGCAGGTGCAGAATTGAAAACGCGATTCGCTGAATACGCGACTTTGTGGTGCGTTTTCTTGAAAAACACGTTTTCTGCTGCAAATTTTAGCAGAAATTCAACTTTTGCAAAATTACAAAAGGTACCCTAATTGCTCAAAATGCATCATAGATCATTCCTTTGCTAAAATACTCAATACATGCACATGTAAAATGATCAAAATATGCATTTTAACCCCTGGTAACAAATCAAAAACAACAATTACTCAAATCGAGGGGTTGAGTTCCTTGATCAAACTTCGTCTTTTTCACTTCATTTGGTCACTTTTGCTTTCATTTCCAATACCTATAAATGAAAAATAACGAAATAACTCAAATACATACTTTAAGCATAAAATCACACAAAAATAACATAAATAGCCAAAACATTGGGTTGCCTCCCAATAAGCGTTTTTATTTATAGTCGTTGGCTCGACTATTTAACCTCATTTTTCAAGGAGGTTTGGTTAAAGAATAATCCACCATTTTTGGTCGTGGTGGATCATTAAATGGTGACTTTATAGCAAAAGCCACATGTTCAAATGATATGAGAGATGGAAGAAAAATACCTACCTCAAGTGAGTCATAGATATTACCTTGAATATGCACCACTTGAGAATTCTCCAAAGGAGATGTCATATGGGTTTCTTGGGCAATAATATCTTTCAAACCTATACTTTCAATACACTCCTCAAGAGGGGTGAAAAATGAATCATTAAAGCTCACATCTGGAGGTTCAAAATTAGTTCCAAAGATATTATCATGTGAAATGGACATTTGCTCACTGAAACACAATTGAGATTCATCATTTTCATGAAAATGCAATCCATTTTCACATACAACATTCCCACCATTCATGCTAGGATCATTTTGTATATTATTAGAAGAAATAACTTCACACAATGCATGTAATTGGGCTTGTATTCTACTAAAGTGAGAAGTTAATTCATCTAACCTTTCCTCAATTCTAGCAAAACGATCGGAGGTCGCATTAGCTAGCTTTTCTATGGCTAAATCAAATTGATTAGAAGAATTTTCTACAGCTAACTCCCAAAATGCATTAGAATCATTAGCTAATGGTTCACTTTCTAATTCCCAAGGTAGAGATGCATTAGCTAGTTTTTCTATTGCCAATTCCCAAGATGGTTTTACTTCATATTGGACACATTTGGGTGGATAATCATAAAAACATGCAGAATCACTATAAGTACATTGATTATTCCAAAAATCCTTTGAGGGATACCGTGTAGTTTACTGATGAAATCAATGAAGAGTCTAGCCACTTTTGGAGTATCAAAAGGATGGGATAAACTTATAAAGTGTGCATATTTTGTAAATCTATCTACCACCACCATAATAGTATTCCTTCCTTCTGATTGGGGTAGGCCTTCCACGAAATCCATAGTAATATGGCTCCATGAGTGCTGGGGAATAGGGAGTGGCTGTAGCAATCCTGGGTAAGCCACATGTTCATCTTTGCACTTTCTACAGGTATCACACTCCAGGACCGCCTTCTTGATTTCTTGGTACATTCCTGGCCAGTAAAATAGCTGTTTGGCCCTCATATAGCTGGCTTGAAAGCTTGAGTGTCCTCCAATTTGGGAATCGTGTAGTGCAGTAATTAACTTCCTCCTGATATCACCTTGTCCTCCTACTACTAGCCTCTTCTTGAACCTGAGAATGCCATCCTGGTATGACTAGTCTGGTGCTAGTGTGGGGGTCAATATCACCAGAGCTATGGTCTTCTGAGTCCATTCATCCCCCTGGTAACTCTCTATCACCTCCTGTATCCAAGTTGGCACTGCACATGAGATGGCTGCGCACTCCCCTATTTCTTCCCTGCCTTATCTAGACAGTGCATCAGGAGCCAGGTTGTCCCTACCTCTTTTGTAATGGATTTCGTAGCTCAATCCCAACAATTTGGTGAGCCATTTCTGTTGGAGTGGGGCAGTGATCCTCTGCTCCAAGAGATACTTCAGACTTTGATGGTCAGTATGTATGATGAAATGGTGTCCTTCCAAGTAGTGCCTCCATTTGGTCACAGCCGTCACTAATGACAGTAATTCCTTCTCGTCGATTGATAACCCCATGTTTTTTTGTCCCAGAGCTTGACTGAGGTAGGAGATAGGTCTTCTATTATGCATTAGCACAGCCCCTATACCAGTGTAGCATGCATCAGTCTCAATAATGAATGGCTGTGAGAAGTCAGGTACTGCTAAGACTGGGGTGCTGCACATAGCCCCTTTTAGTTGTTAGAAGGCCTGCTCTGTGTCCTCACTCCAGTGGAAGTTGTCCTTCTTGAGCAGGTTTGTCAAGGGCCTGGCCATAGCCCCGCACCCTTTGACAAATCTCCTGTAGTACCCTGTTAGGCTCAGAAATCCCCTTAGCTGTTTGATGTTGGTTGGTCTCGGCCAGTTTTTCATGTCTTCTATCTTCTCAAGATCAGCCTTCACTCCCTCTGCTGATATTATGTGACCCAAATATTCCACCTGTAGCTGCGCAAAAGAACATTTACTCATTTTGGCAAACAACTGATGCTGCCTCAGAATACTCATTACCTCAGTTACATGCTTCACATGTGTCTCCAGTATGGGGCTGTAGACCAGAATTTCATCAAAGAACACCAGCACGTGTTTCCTCATCTGCTCCTGGAAGACCCGATTCATCAGCCTCTAGAAGGTCACGGGTGCATTGGTCAAGCCAAATGGCATGACCTTGAACTCATAGAGTCCTTGATGAGTCCTAAAAGCGGTCTTTGGTATGTCCTCCACTTTGACCTTGATTTGAAAGTATCCTGCTCTCAGGTCCATTTTTGTGAAGTACTTGGCCCCATGCAGTTCATCTATTAACTCTTCAATCAGAGGCATGGGGAATTGTTTTTTCACTGTTAGCTCATTCAGTTGCCTGTAGTCCACACAGAATCTCCATGTCCCATCTTTTTTCTTAACTAGTGGCACTGGTGAAGCAAACGGGCTAGTGTTGGGTTGTATGATGCCCAGTTCTAGCATTTCTTTCACTAATCTCACAATTTCTGTCTTCTGCACGTAGGGGCACCTGCATAGCCTTACCTGGAAGGGCCTGGCTCCATCCTTGAGAACAATCTGGTGATCATGGCTCCTTGTTGGAGGCATTCCTTTTGGCTCTTCGAAGACATCCTTGTATTGATCTAGCATATGACTGATTTCAATGGGTATCTGTCCTAGACCTTCTTTCTTCCCCATGGCCACCAGTTGTTCTACCAGTCCATATTCCTGCTTCCTTAGCCATTTTGCTAGCCTGCCTCCTTTGAATATCTCCAACTTGGTGCAGATGTCCTCTCCCATCAGTATTATTTCTTGCTCCCCCTTGAGGATCTTCATACTGAGCTCCATGAAATTGAACTCTATAGGGCTGTGTTTGGCCAACCAGTCCACTCCCAGTATCATGTCGCATCCCCCCAACCTTATAGTGTTGAAGGTATGCTGGAACTGATGCCCTTTCATTTCCCATTGCAAAGGCCTATCCAGTCCTTTGGAATCCACCCTTTCACCATTAGCTACATTGACTACCAAGGTTGGCCCCTGTGTACACAGTTTTAATTCTTTTGCCAGCTGCTCATCGAAGAAGCAATGGGTACTGCCACTATCAATCAGTGCAGTGACTTGCCTCCCCTTAACATGACCCTTCAGCCTTATAGTTTTGTGCCTTGCTCCTCCAGCCAAGGCATGAATTGATACTTCTATGTGTTCCCCTGCCAGACCCCCATTAATGCAGTCACAGAAAACTTCCTCCTCTGGTTCCCTACTCTCTTCCCTGTCTTCAGTTTCCTCAGCCAACAGTAGATGTGCATGAGCTTGTTTGCAAACATGCCCCAAGGTATAAGGTTCTGCACATCTATAACATAGCCCCTTTTCTCTCCTGTGATTGTATTCTGTGGGGGTTATTTTTTTAAATAGGTTCTGGTTGGAAGTGTTCTGATCAGGGGGTTTGTTGGTGTGTTTGGGGAAGTTTTGGTTCCATTTGGGGTGGGATGTAGTTTTGCTGTGGGTTCTTTGGCTATTGAAACTGGTATTGACAGGTTTCTGCACTTTTTGGATTGCTTTGATGTTCTTTTCTTGGAGTTTTGCTATTTCAATGGCAACAGCTAAGGTTTCAGATTTAGAGATTTTTACCATATTGACTATCTCTTCTTTAAGTCCACTCATAAAACATGCCTTATAATATGAATCAGACAAGTGAGGCAAAGAAGGTATTACCAGAGCTTTGAGCATCTCGAACTTCTCCAGGTATTCAGCCACGGATCAGTCTACACCAGCTTGTTGAATTCTTCGATTGCCTCCTCTGGACTTCCTTCTCCAAATCTGATGCATAGAGCAGTGGATAACTCTGGCCAGGGAATAGCCTCCCTTCCATGAAAAACTCCATGGAACCAGATGTCTGCTCTGTCTCTGAAATAGAGTTTAGCGACCTCAGCCCTCATGTCCTCCTCTATCTCATGTAATTTGAAATACTTGTTAGCCTTCCTAATCCACTCCCTTGGATTATCCCCATAAAAAATTGGCAGATCCATTTTTGGCAATCTACCATGGACTCTGGCCTCTCTCTTACTAGCTGCTTCTTTTGGTGGCTCCATCCTGGATTCATTTGATCGATCTTCTCTTTTTGAGCTGCTACTTCCTTCTGGTTCCTTCCCTCGGTCACTGATCTTGGCCATCAACTGAGCCATCATGTTCATCATGCCCTCATATTTTTGATCCAATCCTTTCAGTAGTTTTTCAGTAGCATCCTGTCTGAACTCCATTGTCCTCATGGCCTGTTCTACTCCCTCACTTTTGTTGGTAAAGGTTCTGACCACACTCCCTAATTCCACGACCTCTCCCCTCAGAGTTTCATCCTGGTTTTTTGTCATCCCTATGGCTCGCAGGATAGCTCTGATACCACTGTTGTGGTACAGAACCTAAAATGGTAATTTGATGAGGAAGGTATTCGATATGCATTCGATTGATGGGAACACAAATTTTACCCAAGCTGAATGAATGGCAAGAACAACTCAATTTTTATTGAACAACTTCAACTTGCTTACAGAAAAGGAATTGGCGGGAAGAGAAGGAGGTGAGAAAGAATGCAGGAAAACTTTAAGAAAAGGAAAACAGAAAGGATGTTCTCCTTCCGATCACAATACAGGAATTTTCTCTGCCAATCAATTGCATGATTGTAATATTTATAGTAATCTATTCTAACTAACTCTCCCACTAGCAAATGGCATAGAAATTGCGTGTGAGTGAATCTTCTAGATTCACTGGTCCACTTGCAGCAAGAAGCTCGTGAACCCAGAATGAGCGTGCTTCCTTGCTCACGCCTTTGCGAACTCCTTGCGCCTTCTCCCTTCTTGCTTTTCACGCCTTTATTTACTTCGTGCCCTGCTTGCTGTTTTAATTCTTCAAAACACGTCTTCTCTTCTTTCCTCTCTACTTGGTCGCGCTTTCCTTTGATGCCTCTTCATGCCTTCACTCCTACTTTATTACAATACCTCCCCCCTAATAGCAAACCCTGTCCTCAGGGTTGGAAGGTAGTGAATTGTCTTTCAATCTCCTCAGTATCCTCCAATGTAACTTCTGCAGGATCCGTTCCCCACCAGTGGATTAGCCACTGAGTGGCAGCTGCATTTTTCTTCTTTACCATTTTCGTATCTAGTACGGCAATAGGCTCTACTCTCCAATGTCCCTTTTCATTTGTTTCTGGTAATTGGAGGGTGGGGGTGACCTTGTCTCCCACCTTTCTTTTGAGCAACGACACATGGAAGACAGGGTGTACCTTTGAAGAGCTTGGTAGATTCAGTCTATAAGCTACATTCCCGATTCTTTCCTCTATTCTGTATGGACCAAAGTACCTTGCTGATAGCTTGGTCTTCCCTCTCAGGGCCACAGAGCTCTGTCTGTAAGGTTGCAACCGTAGATATACCCAATCTCCTTTACTGAATTCCCGTTCACTCCTCTTCTCATCAGCATACCTCTTCATCCTTTCCTGAGCCTGCTTCAAATTCTGCTTCAGCATGTTGTCCATTTGTTGCCTCTCCCTGAGGTATTCTCCTACTGCAGCTTCCCTGGATTGCAGGTAGGGTCCCAGAGCAAATTGGGGAGGGGCGAAACCATATAGTGCCTCGAAAGGGGTCATCTGGATGGCAGTGTGTTGGGAAGTGTTGTACCACCATTCTGCCAGAGATAACCACTGGTTCCATTTTTTTGGTTCCATATGAGTCAGGCACCTGAGGTACATTTCAAGCACCTGGTTCACCCTCTCAGTCTGGCCATCAGTCTGGAGATGATAAGCTGTGCTGTAGTTCAATTTGGCCCCCAACGAACTGAATAATTCTTCCCAGAATTTACTGACAAAAATCCTGTCCCTGTCTGAAAGCATACTTTGAGGGATACCGTGTAGTTTACTGATGAAATCAATGAAGAGTCTAGCCACTTTTGGAGTATCAAAAGGATGGGATAAACTTATAAAGTGTGCATATTTTGTAAATCTATCTACCACCACCATAATAGTATTCCTTCCTTCTTATTGGGGTAGGCCTTCCACGAAATCCATAGTAATATGGCTCCATGAGTGCTGGGGAATAGGGAGTGGCTGTAGCAATCCTGGGTAAGCCACATGTTCATCTTTGCACTTTCTACAGGTATCACACTCCAGGACCGCCTTCTTGATTTCTTGGTACATTCCTGGCCAGTAAAATAGCTGTTTGGCCCTCATATAGCTGGCTTGAATGCCTGAGTGTCCTCCAATTTGGGAATCGTGTAGTGCAGTAATTAACTTCCTCCTGATATCACCTTGTCCTCCTACTACTAGCCTCTTCTTGAACCTGAGAATGCCATCCTGGTATGACTAGTCTGGTGCTAGTGTGGGGGTCAATATCACCAGAGCTATGGTCTTCTGAGTCCATTCATCCCCCTGGTAACTCTCTATCACCTCCTGTATCCAAGTTGGCACTGCACATGAGATGGCTGCGCACTCCCCTATTTCTTCCCTGCCTTATCTAGACAGTGCATCGGCAGCCAAGTTATCCCTACCTCTTTTGTAATGGATTTCGTAGCTCAATCCCAACAATTTAGTGAGCAATTTCTGTTGGAGTGGGGTAGTGATCCTCTGCTCCAGGAGATACTTCAGACTTTGATGGTCAGTATGTATGATGAAATGGTGTCCTTCCAAGTAGTGCCTCCATTTGGTCACAGCCGTCACTAATGCCAGTAATTCCTTCTCGTAGATTGATAACCCCATGTTTTTTTGTCCCAGAGCTTGACTGAGGTAGGAGATAGGTCTTCTATTATGCATTAGCACAGCCCCTATACCAGTGTAGCATGCATCAGTCTCAATAATGAATGGCTGTGAGAAGTCAGGTACTGCTAAGACTGGGGTGCTGCACATAGCCCCTTTTAGTTGTTAGAAGGCCTGCTCTGTGTCCTCACTCCAGTGGAAGTTGTCCTTCTTGAGCAGGTTTGTCAAGGGCCTGGCCATAGCCCCGCACCCTTTGACAAATCTCCTGTAGTACCCTGTTAGGCTCAGAAATCCCCTTAGCTGTTTGATGTTGGTTGGTCTCGGCCAGTTTTTCATGTCTTCTATCTTCTCAGGATCAGCCTTCACTCCCTCTGCTGATATTATGTGATCCAAATATTCCACCTGTAGCTGCGCAAAAGAACATTTACTCATTTTGGCAAACAACTGATGCTGCCTCAGAATACTCATTACCTCAGTTACATGCTTCACATGTGTCTCCAGTATGGGGCTGTAGACCAGAATTTCATCAAAGAACACCAGCACGTGTTTCGTCATCTGCTCCTGGAAGACCCGATTCATCAGGCTCTGGAAGGTCACGGGTGCATTGGTCAAGCCAAATGGCAAGACCTTGAACTCATAGAGTCCTTGATGAGTCCTGAAAGCTGTCTTTGGTATGTCCTCCACTTTGACCCTGATTTGAAAGTATCCTGTTCTCAGGTCCATTTTTGTGAAGTACTTGGCCCCATGCAGTTCATCTATTAACTCTTCAATCAGAGGCATGGGGAATTTTTTTTTCACTGTTAGCTCATTCAGTTGCCTGTAGTTCACACAGAATCTCCATGTCCCATCTTTTTTCTTAACCAGTGGCACTGGTGAAGCAAACGGGCTAGTGTTGGGTTGTATGATGCCCAGTTCTAGCATTTCTTTCACTAATATCTCAATTTCTATCTTCTGCACGTAGGGGCACCTGTATAGCCTTACCTGGAAGGGCCTGGCTCCATCCTTGAGAACAATCTGGTGATCATGGCTCCTTGTTGGAGGCATTCCTTTTGGCTCTTCGAAGACATCCTTGTATTGATCTAGCATATGACTGATTTCAATGGGTATCTGTCCTAGACCTTTTTTCTTCCCCATGGCTACCAGTTGTTCTACCAGTCCATATTCCTGCTTCCTTAGCCATTTTGCTAGCCTGCCTCCTTTGAATATCTCCAACTTGGTGCAGATGTCCTCTCCCATCAGTATTATTTCTTGCTCCCCCTTGAGGATCTTCATACTGAGCTCCATGAAATTGAACTCTATAGGGCTGTGTTTGGCCAACCAGTCCACTCCCAGTATCATGTCGCATCCCCCCAACCTTAGAGTGTTGAAGGTATGCTGGAACTGATGCCCTTTCATTTCCCATTGCAAAGGCCTATCCAGTCCTTTGGAATCCACCCTTTCACCATTAGCTACATTGACTACCAAGGTTGGCCCCTGTGTACACAGTTTTAATTCTTTTGCCAGCTGCTCATCGAAGAAGCAATGGGTACTGCCACTATCAATCAGTGCAGTGACTTGCCTCCCCTTAACATGACCCTTCAGCCTTATAGTTTTGTGCCTTGCTCCTCCAGCCAAGGCATGAATTGATACTTCTATGTGTTCCCCTGCCAGACCCCCATTAATACAGTCACAGAAAACTTCCTCCTCTGGTTCCCTACTCTTTTCCCTGTCTTCAGTTTCCTCAGCCAACAGTAGATGTGCATGAGCTTGTTTGCAAACATGCCCCAAGGTATAAGGTTCTGCACATCTATAACATAGCCCCTTTTCTCTCCTGTGATTGTATTCTGTGGGGGTTATTTTTTTAAATAGGTTCTGGTTGGAAGTGTTCTGATCAGGGGGTTTGTTGGTGTGTTTGGGGAAGTTTTGGTTCCATTTGGGGTGGGATGTAGTTTTGTTGTGGGTTCTTTGGCTATTGAAACTGGTATTGACAGGTTTCTGCATTTTTTGGATTGCTTTG